ATTTAGGTATATATTTACGTGCGGATGTTTTAAGGTCTCTAAATAGAGAATTGTAATCAATGGTTCGTACAAAACATGGAAATATTTGGAAAGTGGGAACTGATTCCTAGAAATAAGGAAATGATCCCAATTCTACATATTTTTAGCAACATAAACAATCGAATTGTTCGATATTTGATTCGTTCTATTGCTAGTTCTGTTTATGTGGAGATTGAGTTCTTTAATTCAAGGAAATATTGCTTTGGTACTGGTTTGCATGATTCAAAATGTAATGTATGCGTCTTGATTCGTTAAAAAACGTGAATACAATTGAGCCGAACTTGAAGATCATGGTCGAAAACCAATAAATAAATAATCATCGTACATTATTAAATTAGCGTCTAGATTAGGATCCAACTTTGTGCGGATATTTTAACAAAACTATGTTAATTACACTATTTAGTAAGTATTTATATGTTAAAAATATGTTAAACCACTAGTTGAAAGTTGTATGAAGTTCGTACCAATTATAAGTGTTGTGAATCAAAGGCGATAAAGCAAAGAAGAAAAGAGATTGAGACGAAAATAGGGTTTCTTATTACTCGTGTGTTACCAAGAATAAAACCTAAACTCCATATATATACATCTCAAATAAACACCCGGTTTACGGACGTATACCGTACCACGAGGGGGGGGGGGCGCAGCCCCCCGTACCCCCCAAAAAAAAAACCTGCCTAGCGAGTTACCAGTACATTCAAGGGCTGGCCTTTTACCACTATGTATCTGATTATAAGTCACTTAGATAACAATAAGTCTACTAAATTTCATCAATTTCCAATAGTACCAATAATAAGTCTACTAAATTTCATCAATTTCCAATAGTTTCTTCCCCGAATTAGCTTAATTTGTAAATCTCTGTCAATATTATGGCTTTCTAAGCCAATGTTTGAGAGGTTTTTTGTAAATGCTTTTGAGGTGTTTCGTAGCAAGTTAGGATCTAGGCGAGTCAACCTATCCCGTCCGGGTTGCGAAACAAACTCCTCAATGCTCATGGCCGTGGNAGCTGAGGGCTGTGTACCCATAGGAGGAGACGGGTGTTGGGGATCCGGAAAGCTACTCTCGGGGATATGCCACTAACTCCCACTCCGACCTCCCCTAGTGGAAGTACCGGATCCACTGGAGTGATGAAATCGCCAATAGTCCCTACGATTGCCAAAATTTTTATATACCG